GTAGCATGCCTTTCAGTCATTCTTTTTGTCATCACCATGCATGTTGTGAGCAAGTCACTTCCCTCACCAGCAGACTCAAATGAAAGAAATGTGGACGAAGCATCTGCCTATGTAAAGAGTTGAATCCAAACTGGAACTTCGCTTCCTTCCCTTCCCTTCATAAACCTTCTGGCTCTACCCTCAAGCATGTCAGACACTTCTTATTTGGTCTGCTTGCTTCAGTTGTTTCCTGATTGGGTCAAGGTGCTCTTTCCAAATCCCCTTCCCAGTAAAGTCCTGGAAAGTCTTCCTCCTTTCCAAGACATGCTGGCTCTCATGTCCTGCTTAAGAACTTCACTAGGTAATCTTGAACTGCCAAGTCCTCTATATCCGCTTTCCGCTCCTGCTCTTGCTCCTGCTCCCCTCTTCAGAACTGGATGAATTTATCTAAGCAAACTGTGATGTGTTTACAGGCGTTCTCTCTTCAATGCATTATGAGCCCTCAGAAACTTTCAGTCAGGCTTCAATGTCAATCTTCTGTGCATATTTTGGTGCCTTGCCTTTGAATACTTGAACGCCAAACTAGATGTGACGGAAGAAAACCTATTGGCTTAGATTCAGATCTATCTCAATTACCTATCAAAAAAACTTCAATTTGGAATGCAAAAAGAGCATGTAGCTGAGAGTAGCTGACCTCCTTACATCAACTACCACCATATAGGCTTGCCTCACCATCACTCTTCTTCTAGATGAGCTCACCTCCAGTATCAGAACTCAGTTTAGCTGAGGGGAAATATACCTGGAGGAGAAGCAGGAACAGATATTTGATAATGAAACTGTAGAGGTTCCCCCTCTGCAATGAGAATGTTTTGCTCTACAAATTGGGCTTTTCCTGTTTATGTATGTTTTGGGCAGACCCTTGTGTAAACAAATGGCTCCACTGGTATCTTTTTAGTGTGCATTATGATTAGATGGCCAGAGGAAGATCGGGAAATTCAAATGTATACAAAATGTACTGGGTGACTTCAGAGCAGTAAATGTCTTCCAATCTAAACTTTTCACAGGGTTATTCTGAGGATGAAGGTCAAAAAAATCATATGGGCCACTCCAGAGTAATGCATCACAATTTTGGAACAATACAGTTTTTCAGCACAGAGGATATATTTTTGCATACATTTCTGAGTGTATGGAGGAAATATAATATTATAATTACTATTACATTGAATTAATATTCTGCCTTTTCCTCATTGTGAGGAACTCAAGGCAGCTTACATCACCCTATTTTATCCTCAAAACAAAAACCCATGTATGGTAGGTTAGTCTGAGAGTGACTAGGCCAAAGTCACCCATTAACATTCATGCCTGAGTAGGGACAAGAACCTGGATCACCTAGGTTCCCAGTCTGATATCACCACATCATAGTGGCTCTCAGTTATTATTTTCTCAACCTTAAAAACTTTTTTTAAAATAAACTATTTAATTATTCTATCCATTTAGACTCAGTATTATTATGAGGTATTATGTCCTTGAGAGTAACAACTCTGAAATAATGCTCTCATTGTCTTATATCAATACTAAATTAATACACATTCCACTAAAATGCCAAATTACTGGAACAAAATCATATCTTCCTCTATCAAATTGTTTTACATCTAATGTCGCCTCTACCAGGAGAAAGAAGGAAAGGAATGGTGTTATTTTCCTTCCCCTTGTCCTTATACTGAATAAAAGGAAGAAAAGAAGGGACTGACAAATTCTTTGTTGACACATTTATCATTCAGTGCAGCATGGGAGTGGGGTGCATCAGCTTTATAGGAAAACTGCTCTCTGAAACCAAGCCTGAGAAGAATTTTAAAGACAATCAGTGTAGCACTGGTATATTTTGTTCTGATGGCTGCAGAAAATCAGCAGCAGCAGCAGCAACAAAAATAAAAAAAAGCTATTATGATTTACTAGACCAACAACAGTGGCTTTGAAAGTATGTAGTTTCTAGTTCCCAGAATTCTTCAAGCAGAAGAGTTTTTAACTTTATAGCCTGCATACTGCTTCAGCAATACAAGTTCATCCATTAGAAGATAGCATCTTACTTCATGCCACACTATCTATGACTGATGGCCTCAAAGCATATTTCAGTGCTTTAGGCCACAGCTTTTTCAGTCTAAAAGAACACAAGCACATATCAATTCTATCATATGTCTTCTTCCTCTGGAAATACTGGACAGAATCTGATGTTTGTTCTTTTACAACAGGAGGGAAAACAAAGCAGTATTACCAATAAGCAATAGGCCAGATCTTACAAAACTAAGTCCATTGCGATACAAAGTGTAACTTTTCTGGGGCATTTTGCTTATTGAAGTTTGCACTACAAGTAACACATAATAATAATTTAAACATAAATAAACATTAAATTATCAAAACAACCTGCCAGTTTTAAGATTAGAGTTACAGTTATCTCATGTTGACTTAAGCTCTGCAAAGTCAGAAACCTGGAAGCTAAGTCACCCATACTTTTCCTGGGCAGGATGGAATACTTGGACCAGCAAAGATGTCCTGTGTTGTCCTAGTCCTGTATTGTTTTAGGAGCGATCTGAACCTCATTGTATTGCTAAATAAATCGACCCGTGAGTTGACCTTTCCCTCAGCCTTCAAAATTACCTCATTTCTATCTCTGTTGACATTTCTTGATAATTCTCCCCACCACCACCACCCCACTGTCAGAATACCAACAGGAATAGTAGAATACCTGACAAATTTGGGTACTGATAGCATTCTGAAACTTAGCATGGCTGACAGAACATTGCCAGCAGTTGCTGCTGTAACATTTCATAGGCAGAAAACTCTTGTTAACTTTCTAAATGCTTCTCAGAATTGAACACCTCAACAACTATGAGTAATATACATCAGTAGTTTTCTCCGTAATTTGGAAGTATTATATTATATGCTGAGCCAGAGCTCGAAATAAACAGTACAAATGCGTCAATTTTCAATGTCTCTTAACTTGCAATATCTGGGGAAATTTGTATCAGGTTGATATGCAATGTTATAAAACTGTAGACCTCATCAAATAGATTACGACTGCCAAGTTTCAAGTGATAAGTAAAACAGGGATCATTTTTATGAGCATTTGAGGCTTATGATGGTGGAAACTCTTGTATGCGTGTGTGACTCCCCTTCAATGAAGCTCATTTCTAGGGCAGTAAATTCACTGAATCATAGATACTATCTTAGACAGTATGAATTTACTATTATTATTACTATATAATACTTTAAGAAATGTTATGTATTTCAAATACAGATCTCCTCAAGCCACAACTTGTGTTAAAGATATGCATAAAAGGGCACATGTATTTAAGTACTTGTTAACATGAGTTAAAGAGCATAATTTCTATGCATGTTGCATCTGGAAACAAACATCTGCAAAGATCCCACACATTCATGAAAGACTTTAGCCATATGGAGAAGGTTTCAGTAGATGTAACCTATAAAATGTTAAATTTGGTACTAGCTAACTCTCCTTCCACTTAACAATCATAGTAAATAATTGAAATATGCCTAAAGATGTAATTCACCTCATAATTTAAGTTTTAAAATGTTTCTGCAAGTTTGTCAGAGCTATAGGCCTTGTTTGCACATAGCAGAAGCCCAGAGTTCAAAAACACTTTCTGAGTGAGCCGCAGTACTGGTGCCAAAAGCTCAATTACTTCTGTTTGGCTCCTCCTGCCAACAGTAGTGGCAAAACAAGGCAGGAACTCTTCCTTTGTTTGGTTAGAATTACATCTGTATCCTGAACTCTGGTTTGTCTCTTGTCCACAAGCCACTCATGACTAAGGGTTTGCTCTTGGGTTACAATTCAAGCTTCTCAGGAAAGATTAAAGCCACAACAATTTCCCAGTTCAAATGCAACACCTACTAATCCATAGCCTAAGTAAACACACCGACTCACTCATTGAATGCAAAATTAGTCTAGGTTGCCTTTTGTGTAAGATATTTGATATTTTGTGAAAGCTATCTATAAATACTAAGGTATATATATTTTGAAAAACTGAGGGATAAAATGTTTTTAATCCTGTTTTCACTAATTATTCAATGAGATGAAAGATGTCCTGTATGTTTATTTAAAAATGCTTTCAAGTAATATTGCAAAATAAGCATTAACCATTCTCTGGTGCACTTCTATTCAAAATGCTGGTATATCTCTGGTTACTACATATGAATTTTTTTCTATAGAGACTTCTGTAATGATATGCACTGTCACAGAAAACATAGTCCTTCACTATCAGGAGCCTCAAATCCCACCCATCTAGCCTAGCTTATTGGGTAAAAAATGGATTTAATTATTCTGTGGCACATGCAAAGACATAAAGACACTATTAAATATAAGGAGAAGAATAATTTGTTCAGCTGGAGATTTCTTTGAATATGCCATAGAAGTAGCGTCTGGTGAAAGCAAGCCCCTATTTAATGTAAAAAGCAGCTTGCCTCTGGGAACTGGTGGGGCAGTACATAAAATTCTAATTCTCTATGTAAATAAGACAATGGGGCCACACCAAAACAATGCATAGAATTGGACTTTCCAGTGATGTTATGTACAATGCTAATAATTATCATACTGGTAAATGCTTGTTGTATTTTAATCAGTTTGAAACTTTTACAAACACAATGTGTTAGTCAGAGTTATTATTCTGTTAGTCAGAGTTATTATTCCAGCACCAAAAGTATTCAAAGTAAAATAATAGAGCTTTAAAACTATTCCCATTGTTGGTGCTTTCTGCAGGTTTTTCTGATCTTTCCTTAAGCTTTTCTGCCAGGTAAATGCATAATATGGAATTACAGGTACATAATATGCAATACACAATGAAAATAGAAGGAAATGATAGTTCTGGGACTGAACTAAGACAATTTTTCTATGTTGTCTCTGTAGACTTGAAAGATCAAGTTTTAAATACCAAACTTAAATTATTCTAATTTGCTGCAATGTAATATTGTTTCCACTGTTTACTCTGTTACTTTAGAATATCTACCTCTCTCTGTCTGGGGAGTTGTGGTCATCCATGATTCGGTGTCTATCCATTCGGTTCATTGAATTGTAATGTGCAGGAGTAGATCGGGTCCCTCGAGACCCCTGTTCCACATTCCTACTGAAGAAACAAAACCATCAATGTCATAGAGGGGGAAATGAGCAGTTCCTAAGCTAAACTCTACAATGAATCCTGTTAATGAATATAGCAGCTGTAACCTTTAACAACCTTAACTCTACCATAATATCTTCAGAGCTGATAAGTTTCTATGATTCTGCATTCATGATATTTTATTGCCCAACTGTGAATTTGGGATGGTATTTGTTGTGCAAATTGTCATTTGTTGCAGAATCTAAAAAAAAAAAAAATGTAGAGCCTCTGTGAATATTGTCTTTTATATAAAACATAAACAGAGATTTTGGCTGTAAACAAAAAATTCTGAATATAATCAAACTTGAGTTATAAATATGGAGGTAGTAGCACTTGTATGTACTGAATATTATATATTCTATCACGATTGACAACCACTCTGTATCCCACAACCCAGCTGCCCATCACTTAACTAATACTAGATGGAAATAAAATCAGAATTCTGAAAGTTCTGAAAAAAGCCTGTAAAAAACCCACCATTTGTTATATAAATTCTAGTTAAACAGGCAACTACTAAACCTTTCTATTGGGTCACATAAGTGCTCACATATGTTTTAAGGCAGGAATACAGATTTCATGCTTCGGAGAGGAAAGTCTGCACTGGGGTCTTGATCACGTATTCATGGTTAGAAGTAGCAGTGTTACAAATGCACCAGCTCTAGGTAGATATTCTTATTTATTTTTATTTAAATCCTATAAAATATAGTTGTCATGTTCTCATTATATTTTTACTTCTCTTGAATGAACTACTTAACATTAGCTCTTTGTATTATCATTCCATCATAGAGCAAAACTGCCTGATTAGTGCTTATCAATTTAGAAGGAGGTAGTTTCTATATATTCAGGATACTTCCTTTGTTTAACAGAAGTAAATGTCTGAAAATTAAGGGGAAAAAACAATATGAAATCTCAGAAAAATAGCTCTGAGAATTTCCACAACACCTTCAATGTTGCGAGCACAAAGTTAAGTACCTAGCATAACGTCTCTCACTGACAGGATAAGGAAGTTCCAGGTTCACACTAGACATCAAATTAGGAACACCACTCTTTGTTGGAGGTATTTTAAAGTCCTTAAAGGATTTCTTCACTGCTTTCTATGAGAAACTCAGTTCTGCAGTTCTTTGTTTGAAGGAATATTATAGGGTCCCTTTAAAAAGGGACAAAGGGAAACATGAAGGAAACTGACCTAATAAAGCTTTTTACATAGCTTGAAGAGAGATCAAAAAAGGAGGTATACACCCTGAACCTGAAAAACTTTCTTCCTCGTGCCATATTCCCTCTTCACCCACTTTATGGCATTAAAGTGTACTATGCTTGGGGATGGCTGGCAACTTTGCTCCTAAAAACTAAATAAGACAGTAAGGGAGAATATAGAAAAGAAAGAAGTCATTTTCTGCAAGTACCAAACCACAAAGTAATTCTTGTTTATTTATTTAATAATTAATACATTTATGTTTCACTTCTCTTTCATTGTAGAACTCAAGGTAATATATCGGTGATTCTTATAAGGTGGTTTTGCGCTTAGTGTCTGAGGGAGGTTACAGCCCTGACCAGGAACAGTACTGTTAACAACTGAAGGTATTTGCCTGTATCACATTTCTGAGCAACCCTGCCCACTCTCCCCCTTTGTAGAAAGCTATTTGAGCACTCTGACCCTTCTTGATCTTATCACATTGTGCCTAGTTCACAGATCTCCATGGAAAATACTGAACACTAGCAAGTGCAAGAGCTAGATGGTACTAAATACTGCCAAATATTCAGTTACCTAAATAAGTGAGATTCCATGGCATGTGAAATATATGACCAAGGAGGCAGAGGACAAAAATTTTATCTATTTAATTGATATTCCACTTTTTTCTGTTAAAGAAGTCAAAGTGGCTGACATCATTTTCTTCCTCCTACTCTCAAGCTTTATGCCCACAACAACCATGTGAGGTCAGCTGGGCTGAGAGTCTGTGACTGTCTCAAAGCCACCCAGTTGGTCCCATGGCCAATGGGGGACTAGAGTTTCAGTTCTGTGCTCTTAACCACTACACCACGCTGGCTCTCCATATACTGGTATAGCTGTTATATATGGGAAGAAATTTCACACACAGTTCAGGGTTCATAGGAGCGCAAACGCATCTGTCTGAATGGTCAGAAAATGACTGCATTTCAGATACTGGCTGTATCATCATATGCCAGAGCCCAGCAGAAACTATCATTCGCCCGCCCCTGCCCCCAGCTCAAAACTGCCACATATGCCTGATTATATGTAACTTTTGTATGGATTTTAATTTTAAGTTGCTTAGGAGCCAAACTTGGTTGAAAAGAAGCTTAAAATCTAATAAATAAGTAAACAAATAAAATTTGCATTCTACTTTGTTGAGGTCATTAACATTTCCTGGCTACAAATATGATTTGGTAAAATCCAGAAAAAAGCTCTTTTGATACACAAGCGCTGCTGTTGAGTATGATTTTGTGGGTTTCCCATTATCATTATATAAATGCAGCTCTTGCAAATTCATTAGTGACTATGCATATGGTTTGCTTTTTTAATAACATTTTATAATATTTTTATTATTCCCAAGGAAAATTTTTACCCTTAATAATGATGCATACTAATTGTATTTAATTATATTTATCAGATAAGAATCTTTCACCTTAACTGTTATTCTGTTATGTTATACAGGTACAACAGATACTGGAGTAAAAAAGTTATACGGATACTGGATACCAGAGTACTAGACTCTAGTGGGTTAGTGCCTTACTAATATTGCAAAATGTACATTAACATAGAATCACAGAACAGCAGAGCTGGAAGGGGCCAAGAAGGCCATCGGGTCCAACCCCTTGTATTACAGGACACCAACTTACACCATCCCACTACTGCATACCATCATAGTACAAATGCACTAATGTGTTAGAAACACTCAAGAAAATGTTGCAAGATTCATTATAGCAGAAAACTTGAGTTATTCATAATAGTAACAGCATCACACATTTGGACTGCTGCAAACTTTAGACGGTTGCAAACTTTATTACACACTTTTGTTTTAGTGTCAACTGTGTCAACTGTGCAGAAGATTTTCCTACATGCCTATAGCCTTTCTGTGTTGAACAGTGTTTACAGAATATTTATTATTTTATGTATTTAAAGTTTTTACAGACCATTCTATAGCAAATGATCTCAGAAGCATTACAGCATAAAACACAGCGATAATAATAAGTTATGTATCAATTATAACAATTTCAAAGATAATAATTAAGAAGGAAAATAAAATAATAATACACAACACAGAATACTGCTCCACTGCAACCACTCAATGATAATCTTAACAAAATCAAAGCAGCTGTTCAACAATTAAAATGACAGGAGAATTAAAAAGTTTTGACCTGGTGCCGAAAACTATACAGTACTGGCATGAGGCACACCTCCCTAGGCAGTTGGTTCCATATTTTTAATGTTAACATTGCAAAAGTCATACTGTACCCAAGTGAGGGAGTTGTGCTTACCAGCCACAAGATATGTAAGTTATAAAAGCAATGTGCATTGGCAAAGTAGCAAAAAAAATATAATCTTTATAAAATCTCAGGTCACTCAGTAACATAATTATGGGCAATGACCTTTGCTCAGATAAATATGTATGATCGATATTTTGCTTATCTATACTGTATCAAAAGATAGATGAACAACAAACCATTGGACATTTGGAAGCATGACTAAACATTGAAAAAGGCAAGTAAAGTTCTCTTGGTAAAAAACTAATAAAGCACATCACTATAATATAAATAAGCATTCCTTAATTCTTATAGAAAAGTAACACAATTTCAAGTTCTTTTCATATTGTTTTCTTGAGTTTACTGGAATATTCTTAGTAATCACCTGATTACTAATTATATTCTCAATTCCCCCCACTGATAAAATTTACCTTTGTAGAGGTGGGACACTGGGAGACCATGACCTGGTCCTTCCTATACTGTCTCCGCGGTGAGGGGACCCCGACCGAGAGCAGTGATTGGATGACATCACTTGTTCTGGCACTGATAGTGTTGAGCTTTGAAGATCTCTTCCATTATGTCGGTAATCTGGAGAGGGAAGTTCAGTGAGTTGAAATAAATATACAGTTGTACATATTTAACTTTCAGCATCTTGCTAGATTTGGAGACATGCTAGAAAAATCTTAGTCTGGAGAAAAGATGTCATTATCTATACCTATGTATTGTGTGAGTGAGTGCGCGCACACACACACACTCATCTAATATTTTGTGTGGGGATATAAATAAATAAAATTAGAAGTTAGCATTTATATAAAACTTTCCAAATTGTTCAAGGTGCTTCACATATGGCCCCAACAGAAGAGAATACTCATAACAATATATGTAGGGTCCTGCTGCATGAGAGCAAAACCCTATTTAATCCAGTTTCCTCTGTTTCACAGTGGCCAACCAGATGCCTAAGGCAAGCCCAAAAGCTAGACATAAGGGCAACAGCATACTCCTGGTTTTGTTCCCCAATGACTGGTGTTCAAGGCATATTTCCTTTCTCTGTCCTGAAATTCTTGCCATGAAGCTTTTCTGGATGCTCCCAGGTTCTAACACTATGGGAGATATTGTTTCCACTTCCTCCACATGATGCTTTTTTGTGTAAATCTTTACCATGTTCTACCTTTACTCCCTGACATTTTTCTTAAAAGGGGCCTTCAAAAAATGCCCACACTTTGTCATCCTTCTTAGGAGTTGCTCTACCACATTTATTTTCATTGAGCCCTTCTGACTCCAGCTTCACAATATCCCTTTTGACATGCACCAACATAGCTATATTCAATATTCCATGATTGTCTCATCAAAGATTTGCATAAAAACATTATGATACTGTAGTCCTTTCCTATTGGTCCCCTAAAAGGGATTTTCATGTTTTTCATAGCTGCCTGACACAAGGTCAATATTTTCATTGAACTAACCACCACAATCCAAAAAGTTATTTTCTGGTCAACCACTATCCCATCCCTGTGCATGTATGTTTTTTTGCCCTAATCCTGCCATTCACCTCACGCTTTCCCCAATCTCTGGTACTGAAAACTTGGAAGCAGATTTAGATCCAGCCAAAGAAGGGGCTGTTCAGGCCCTGGAATGGCAGAATGGTGAAAGTCTGTCTCTGGCTGGCTTCCTGAGAGGAGCAGGCCAAAGGAACTGGAGTAATATCTCTACAGTGCAGGAGGTTGACATCCTTTCTATGGGAAACAAGCAGGCCAGAGACCCAGGCTGAGGAAAGAAGGGTTTCAAGCCTGTTTCCTTAGGAAAAGTGGCATCCAAAGAAAAGGGAAAACAGACACCACTTAGACACATTTCATATCACAATTTGCCTGCAGGGGAAAATGGAATGGAGAAAAGTTCTAGATGTGTCACCTCTGTTTAAAGCATCTGAAGAATTCAGGGAGCCTCATGGATGCAGTGTCTTTAGTACTGGAGAATTTCCTATAACTGAGCCTTGCTCTTTTGGCTTGCCTTGACTTTCAAGTTTTTGGGACCTTGTTCATGAATCCTGAACTCTTCTAAGTCAAGAATACTGTGTCTCTGAAACTGTGTCTTAGACTATATTGCTGGTTTTCAGAATCTTGCTTCCAGTTTCTGTTCAGAAGGTATTTTGGACCATAATACTATATTTATAACCTTGACTGTACTAATGAACTGATTTACTGCGAGTATCACATATGAAAAGTCTCCATACCACAGAGTCTAAGAGATTGCTTGTGTTTCCATCTCACTACAACAGAGTCCATTGTTTATCCTGCACTAAATTGCTAGAGTTACAATGGAACAAGTCCTAACATTTACAATGAATTATTCTATTTATTTTCTTACTTACTAGATCGGGGTCCTCAAACTTTTTAAACAGGGGGCCAGTTCACTGTCCCTCAGACTGTTGGGGGACCGAACTATACTTTGAAAAAAATATGAACAAATTCCTATGCATACTACACATTAAAATTAATTAAAATTAATTTTAAAATTACAAAATGATTACAAAAATTTTAAAAAATTAAAAATTAAAAAATGTTTGCTCCACTCGCTTGGGCTGCAGAAGCTCAAGATGAGGTGGGGAAGAGCATGTCCATCTTCAACAAACATAGATACAATGTTCATGATCATGCTGGGGGGGGGGGAGATGGACATGATTGTGCTAAGTCATAAGTCATTTATGTACAAAATTAAAATGAACTGGTTCCAATATAAGTCTCCTTGAGGTACTCCACTTCTTTCTACTTGCTCCTACACACTTATGCTAGAGTGTGTTTGAGTATTTTCCTCAGTCAACACTGATGCTGTATTTCAACTCCATGGTTCCATTTCCTATGATTTCCTTAGCGCTTCAGTCCACACATTATTTGATTGATTGATTGAATTAATGAATGATAATTATAAGTTATTCCAGTTACTACCAAAATCTCCCACCAAGTTGTTGAAGCATATATACCAATTAGAAACAGCAGTCTTTTTTAATGTTCTGACAGTAACTTTTCCATCATACTCATGCTGATTATAATACAATACGCTAACTTAATGCACATGTAACATGTCTAATTTTGTTAGATGTCTGGCCTAACCCTATTCTAAAAGTTGATAAAAGATTTCCAACTGCTATGAAAACCCTGGATGGAGTTCATTCTTCCCTACAATAACAGCTTCTTTGTTATTTTATGCATCACCATAATATTCCAAATCCTTTTTTTCAGCCAACTGCTCACCATTCTGTTTCTTTCAGCCACTCTGACTCTTAAACATTCTTATGAATATCCCAGCCTTATTTTATGTACTTCATTGCCACTTTTGCCAATAATAAGCCATTTCTGTCCTTATGTTCTATGCATATTCCTTACATAATTTTTTCTCGGGTTTCCATCAAGAATTTTGTTCCCTTCCATTTTCACCATAACCAAGGCATACCTGCCATTTCGGTTTCTTATTTCTTGGACCCTCTTCCTATTCAGGTTTGCAATCCTCACCACCCTTATCCACAGTACCTCCTGTCTTTCAACCCAAGACAACTTTCACCTTCCTCATGAAATCAGGTTTGTTTGCCTGTCTGTTGCTGACATTTTCATTATTTCAAAAACTGAAATGCTAGTGAACATTTCTTGACATCATAAGATTGCTCCATGGCTGCGAGCAAGATGATATAAGGGTGGTTGAGTTTCTATCCCCTTGCATAAGCCTTTGCCAATACAGGTTGTTGCAATACTGCCCCACTTATTATGAATAGAAATGAAATGAATGAATAGAAATGAAAGAACAGTCTATACCAAGGACCTTAAACCATACTATTCAATAGTAAATATGAGGAATACATAGTTCTTGAAAAAGAAACATATTTAATAAATGTTGAGCTTGATTATGAATGCTAAATTTTGTTGTATCACATTTTAAATAAAGGTAGTCTCTCATCAAGAAATACTAATTTGTGGTATGTTATAGTTACTGTGCTCATAATACACAGTCAGTGGTTCCAAGGGGGAGCCCTTTAACAAAGCCAACACTTAGAATCTTAATTAAAAATCTGGAAGATGAGGAAGATTGCCAATATGCCTATTAAATGTGCTGATCATATTACAAGGGGAGCTATTACAAAAATAAGGAAGAACAGAGAAATCATGAGAACTGCCTTAAGGGAGGCATGACCTGCAAAAGAAACAAAACAAAACAAAACCCTTATAACATCTAAAATATAACAACCATTTTATATGCAGGGCAGTTACTGTATCTGTTGTATTTGGCAGAAGGCATAGAATAGCCTTACTGAGTTCATGAAATTTCTGGATTTTGGAAAGCTTTTGCAGAGGCCTATTTGAAGCAAGGAAGCAGTAAGAGGCTCTGTTTCCCTTCTTCATATTAATTTATTTTACTTATTAGATTTTTATCCCACCCCATTAGCCATAAGGCTCCCTGGGAGGGATACAAAGTTAAATACAATAAAATGCAATTAAAATAGTGATTAATATAACAATAAAATATACTGATCTTCATATTGTCTCACTGAAGCTCCTTTTTCTGATAAGAGCTTCCAGACCAGAAAAGCAGGTTCAAGAGGTAATTCAGAGCACAGAGCCAAGAGACACAGCTAAACCAAAAACCTAAGGCCCCACATTCTACTCACCTCTTTTCTAAAATCTAGGCATGGGTATCAGGGCATGGGGAGGACAGTGATAGCTAGGTTTTTGCAGTTGACACAACAGTAGTGCGTTGGATTCGTAGACAGCATGTCAAATGAAAAGGGATTAAACTGGAATGCTGGGAGTAGAGGGATTAGATTGAAGCAATTGCTCATCTAGGCTGCAGTAATCAGTATAATTTAAAAATTCTTCTTTGTGTAAATAGATCATTCAGTTAAAAGTGTTAAAATGTATGTGCAGGAGGGAAGAAAATAACATTGTTGTTGTTGTTGTTGTTGTTGTTGTTGTAGCAGTTGTTGTTATTGCATGAGTTAACATTGTAGTCATGTCAAATTTCTTCACAGAGCAGCAGATTAGCCTTTTCAATGCAGGATTGTTTTGACATGTATCCTAGCATGCCAAACTCTATAATGCAGCTGCTACATCTGAGAACCACAGCATTAGTTTGCAATTTGAAGCAGAACAGCAACAATTAGGTGATACTAATTCAACAACTTCTGGAAACATCCATAATTTAGGGAAACATTATACAGATTGCAGAGCATGCAGTTCACTGCTCAGCTATTGCAAATAAGCTGCATGCTAGGCCAGAAATGTATAATCAACATATTCAGCACAGAATGGAGGGAACCATTACAACACCAGAAAGATAATTGTTTGTCAGCATCTCTACAAAGGATGTCTGATATTCAAAGTGCTCTGCTGGCACAAGCTGCATGGAAGTGAATGTGGCTTATACCAGCAGAATATTTAATGTCTGTGTTGTATATATCTTTCACTAAGTAATAATCTTAGCCTGGCAATGTTCTTGACAAGATAATGATATGGTTTTGCATGAAATTAGAGTACAAACTAGATGAATACCAAATAAATTAGAAAAAGTTAACACCTACCAATTAGTACTGGGAAACCTCTCAC